GCTATTTTTACTTACTAGTTTCAAGAAGACTGATTTTCTTTCATTTGTATTTTTTTATCATAGAATGTCCATTTAGTTTTTGATTAAACTATTCAAAAACATGATTATTATTTTTTTTTTCGGCTAAATGTGACATCAAATTACTTCCCAATATTTTTTGTTGAGTTTATATGTGACACAGAGTAGATCACAATTAACTTCGCAGCTTATAGAACGCTTTCATCGTAAAACTTAGTCCAGATCACATTTACCCGCTAACCAGTGTCACATTTAAAATTTATGGAGTCCAATTGTGACACCTAAAAATATTTTTAAAAAATATAATAAAACCCATGTTTACTTAAAACACAATACAAAACATTATACAACATATAAGACTATGTGTATTCTTACCACAGATACGTTGAAATCGATGATTCAAAAAAAAAAAAAGTCTCAATGATTTTTTTTGTGCTACTGAACGAAAAGTATGTCACAATTAGGCGAACCCACTGTACTTAACGAAATTTTGGTGGCATCCTTGTATTTATTCAGCAACAAAAATGTATATGAAATTATAGGAAAATCACTGAAAATAATCGTTAACGAAAGAAAATGTATGATTATGAGATTGGGAACAGCAGACGCAGTCGTCAAAACTTGAAAACTGATGTTTTCAACGTAAGCATAATCTAGTGGCTTCAAAAACTGAAATAGGGGATAATGCAATACCTTATTTTGTACCGAATGCGCATGCCCCATTTAACGTTTAGTGTATAATGACTAGTCAGAAAATGATGGCTTAAAATCTCTCTAATAAACAGACATCACAGATGCTTGACAATTGCCGCTATATTGAATCCTGGCATTTGCGGTTTGGATCAAGGTTGTTCAAGGGCCGAATTTATCCTTGTCCTTAAGGAAGCCCTGAGCATTTAGAATTGACATGACTAACTTGTCAAATAGTAGCAAGTGTCCATTCTAAACTTACGACTCCAAGGAAGATTCAAGGAACGACTATAAATTCGGCGATAAAAGAGGTAGGTTGCCTGATGGGATTCTCAATCTGTCGAGTGTCGAAACGTAACGTCCCGACCACTTGTAGAAAGGCGACGCGGATAGTCAGGAATCGGGATGATAGGTTGCGACTAGAAGTTGAGAATTCCGCCTCTGATAACTTTTATGACGTCATATGTATGCCTGAACATATTGCACCACCTGATAGCGTCATCTGTTTGCCATTACCAGACAACCTATTTATTACAAGCAATTAATTTTTTGCCAATCATATCGGCAACGTCACCGGAATTTGTTCTAGGGGGAGTCGCGATTAAATCTCAATCACGCTATCTCTTTTTTTCGCACTACTGCTGTTTTTTTCTCTCGCTTGGCTGAACTCGACTCGAGCCGACTGTATCCGACCGAATGAGCGTTAAAAATTCGTTTTGTTTTGCTAAACGCGCAGTTTTCACTTCTATAATGATGTTGGTTACAGGCAAGTCTTGAAGGGTACAACAAGTGGCAATTTTGACGCCCTCCTAAAAATGGCGCCCGGGATGTTCTGCCCCCTTCGCTCCCCCTCACTACGCCAAGTAGGCACTAGCTGACGTCACATAAATAACCCCACTTTCGTTGGGGGGACAAACAAAGCGTTTGAAGGTCATCATTTAATATACACAGGCGTTAGCTCGTTAGCAATGACATAACGCGATTTTCGATAGGGGGACAACATGTCAGGTTATATGTGAGACGTCAGCTAGCATCTAATTGCAATTCTCTAAGTTCAAATTAAAATAATGATTAACGTAGTTATCTGTTTCGCTGCTTAAGTCACGGATGAAGGTCAAAAATCTAAATTCCAATCCAAATAATTATGCAACCGGAAGAATCGCAAGATTCCTGTCCCTTACCTAATATGCACGCATAAAGGCGATTTCGCCTCAGTCTGGTACCCTAGTTTGGACTGTCAAACATAGCGGTTTGACTGGGTCCATGTCCAAATAAACATGTCAAAGTCAAAATGTACCGAACGCCCTATCCACTGAATTCGGATGAGATTGTTGAGCTACGTCACTTATGTTACGTTACGTACCAATTGGTTAACCATTCGCCTACCAAACAGCAGATGAAAATCTGGGGCGAAATCGTCTTATATCTAAATACCAAACGACATTAATTACAACGCTAACTTGTTTAATTGTGTATACGCGTTGTCGGTGCTTTTGTATAGCGGAAACGCAAACGCGATTCTTGCAACATATTTTACTCCTATAAATACTAAATTAGGACACGCAGCTGCAGGGTCATTTGGAGATACCGATTCCTAGAAATAGTGGCGATGAACTTAAAATCAGGCGGAGATAGGGTTTCCATAAAGGTTTTACGGAAATCAGGATAAAGGAGTCAAGAAATCAGGATAAAGGAGTCAAGAAATTCGAACAAAATCCGGACTTCGCCGAAAAATAATTTAAATTTTTTATGAAGGACGAATTTTGTCTTCATTGATAATGGTAGAGATGAAGTATTGTAACGATTAAAATATTCAACAAAGTTAGGTTGTTTCCAAGATCTCCGAGTTTTCCGGACATTGATCCGAATTCCGGCCGGACTTCCCCGGACACCCTAAAAACCCAAACATGTCCGGGTAAATCCGGACATATGGAAACCCTACGCGGAGATTGATGGTGGGATTGAATACTATTTAAAACAGATTACAATGAGAGAAAGAACAATTTTAATATTACACTTACAATTATTAGAAGTAGCATCAACAGTTGATTCATAAGTAAGATAGTAGAAAACCAGTGATTTGAGTCTCCTCCAAAAAGTTTTTTTTTTTTCTGCCTCAGGCACAAATTAAATTTGCTATTTAATTAACTATATAGACAAATTGAGGAGTTAAGAAATAAATTCAAATCTTTTATTTGATTTTGTGCTTGCTAAGCAATTAAAACAAAAAAAATACTTTGAGAGAGTCAGTATAGTGAAGTTAATGACAATTATAGTAAGTACAGGGTGTTGCAATTTGGAGTGTTTTAACAGGAAAAACACACTTCCAGACCAGATAGACAAAAATTGACTTAGATGTCATGGGATTGATTTTCGAGAAACGTCGAATGTCAAAAACCGCATCGCAATATCTTCAATATTACCATTAATACAGGGCGATTTTCGATTTTCCCCTATTATGAAAAATGGCTATAAGTTTTTTATTTATCAATTTTTTTTATTTCTGTACAAACATTATGGAGACACTTTTTTGAGCACAATCCAGTGGCGGACTCAGTTTTTTTCTATATCGCTCCGATTTCGAGATATCGACCAAATTCCGATATTTTCAAATTAAACACCCTATATATTAATAGCTCATTGGATAGCTCTGTTTTTGCTGATTTCAATGATATGTATAAACTTCAATAGGTTTATCTCTAACAGTTTTTGAGAAGAAAAATTATATCTGTTTCGGTCATAAAAAACAATGTGTTAGAAACAGACTTTCCTCATTTTCCTTACACATATAAAATCCTTTTCTAACACATTGGTCCTCACAACAAAAACAGATATAATTTTTTTCCTCGAAAACTGTTAGAGATAAACCTATCGAACCTTATATCATTGAAATCAGCAAAAACAGAGCTATCCAATAATCTATTAATATATAGGGTGTTTCATTTGAAAATATCGGAATTTGGTCGGTACCTCGAAATCGGAACGATATAGAAAAAAACTGAGTCCGCCACTGGATTGTGCTCAAAAAAGTGTCTCCATAATGTTTTTATTGGAATAAAAAAAAATGGATAAATAAAAAACTTATAGCCAGTTTTCATAATAGGGAAAAATCGAAAATCGCCCTGTATCAATGGTACCATTGAAGATATCGTGATACGGTATTTGACAATTGACGTTTCACAAAAATCGATCCCATGACGTCTAGGTCAATTTTCCTCTATCTGGTCTGGAAGTATGTTTTTCCTGTCGAAACACTCCAAATTGCAGCACCCTGTACATATAAGATAAAAATGATGATGACTATGGAACATTATTGCAAAAATTTAGTTGACTTTGAGTGAAATGACTTTTGAATATTTCTGCTAAGAGTTTGAATAGGAAATAAAAAACGATTGCCGATTAGTAGAATGAATTTACTGAAGATTTTGAATAAAGGTTTAATCAATTAGAATTGTTGATTAAAATTATGTTTGTAATAATTAATCTGGCTAGGTTCATGATTATAAATAGCTGTTTTGTACAAGTTTGCCAGTAGACGATTTTAGGAGTTTTAAAATTTATAATTAAACGTAATAGGTAGTAATTTTATTCAAAATATGTAGGTAACAATCCATTTAGTATGGTGTACAAGAGTAAATGATTTTGGTTGAGAGCTTTAAGGTAGGACTTTATAAAAAGAATAATTTAAGTTCAAAAAATAAAGGATGTTGAAAATTGTTTTAATAAATTGAATTTGCAAACATAGAGGTGACTGTAAGATTATGGGAAAATTTTAGTTCTATTATTTTGTACTTGTACTATCAAATTGGGTTTTGATTATTTAAATAAAAGAAAGTATAATTGTGTGAACCTTACTACAGTTGTTTCTCTCATTTGCAAATAGACCCCCTCCACAATAAATCAATAATAAACTAAATAAAATAAGGAAGGAACCCTGGCCAGTTGCGCCATAATTATGAAGGGCAGGAGCAGTTTAGGGTGTCTTTGAGGAAAAAAATCATTTTTGTTTTGGATGGTACCTAAAACCCCACTTTTCCGCACCCTCCATAGTTCATGAAAATACCACTTTTCCAAACTAGTAGTAGGTATATCGGTACCACTATTAGGGTGGAAAAGTAAAAATATCTAAAATTGGTAAATATACAAGTACAAATATCTTTCATCTTGTAGAAAAAAAATAGCTAACTTGTGCGGAAAGTCTCTTTTCCCATTTGATTGTAATGAGCGTGCGGAAAAGTGGCACTTTCCGCACTAGTAAGCTATTTCAAACAATATAATTATGATGAACCTACATCAAATTTTTCACACTTTTAGCTCTGAAACAAAACACGGGTATTAATATAACCGAGTTGATCATCACGACGGCACTGTAGAGGAAAAACTTGAGGCAGTAACCGAAAGCCGGCCGGGTTTCGTAGAGGAAGGGCAGCCCTAAAAGGGCCCCGAAAACGAACATCTCCACGTAAAGGGTCATTTCGCGTCGAGAGCGCGTCTTTTAATGCCGCATGAGGCCCCTATACCGTGGGCCGCCCCCTCGCTCGGATAATAATAAGGCGAACGAACTCTACGAAATTTAAATGATAAGGAAGTTTCAAATTGATTTTAATTTATTTTTGTTTACATTTTTAAATTGATTTTTAGTGGATAGGCAACTGACAATACTTCAGTTTTCAGCCAATCGGATTGCGGCTGATTCACAAGTGCACTGGGGCGAGTTCAGGAATGACCCTGGAATGACACACCCCAGTGTGAGTGTGACACCGGTGCGACGCCCTAGCTAAAAAATGTTGGATTGTAAATACTATGGACCCAATGACCAATTGTCAATTTAGGCACATCCATAAAATCGCACTCGCACCCTGTGCGTTATTTCCGAACTCGGCCCTGTGCACTACAAGAACAAACATTTTGTATTTTTGAAAACGCTTCATCTCTATGGTGCACCCTTTTGCACTACAAATCAAATCTGTAAAGTTGCACTAACTCTGTGCTAAACTGCTCTATATTCGTTGACTGCACCGACCTAATTGCTTAATTTATTTAGCTGCACTAATATGAATGTGCACTGTAGTCTGTAATCGATCTAGCTGCACTATTTGCACTAATCTATATTGGCTGTATTGATTCTGCCTATGCATTGCATACGCTTACTATACCAATTGCACTTACTGCGCTCACTGTACAGACTGCACTGATTTTGCACTAGCCGTGCTGATTCTACATAAACTGCACTAATTTTGCACTGACTGCCCTAGCTGCACTGAATCTGTAATAATTGCACCGATTCTACACTTAAATTATGTCGTCCTGATTTGAAAAGAAAAAATATTGAAATATGGAGAACTATTTAATAATCATAGTTGAAAAAAATTAGAACCCAAGTCGTCATCATCTTTGATATGAGTTCGGAATGGTAGAAAGTGTCGACACTTTTCACACTAATTGAAAAGATGGTGTTCGTTAATTGGAAGGAGCGTTTGGTGTACACTTTTTTTGCGTTTGGAAATAATTTGGTGTCCGAATGGTGTAAAAATAGTAAGACACCGTTTACTCGGTACAAAATAATGGTGCATTCGGTGTTACACCGCTGATTACACCTTCATCACGTGATATAACACTGCACTACACGAACAACGCACTAGCACTGCACTAAAATACCATTCCGAACGCAACTTTTTGAAAACGCTTGCGATACAGCTGTCAAGGCACACGTGGATTTTGACAGCAGATAAATAATAACCTAACCTATAAAAAAAATAACATGTAAACACGAAATTCAAAAACTAAACTAAAAATGACGAATTTCAAAAGATTAAATACAAAAATCTACGAAAAAAAAGGTCCCGATGTCACCCCCGACTTTATTTACTGGAAGCAATTAAGCGTAAGTAATTATTTGCCATTTAAATCATTAATTAATTAAACAATTTTCAGCCACCAGTTCTTGTTAAGGAATTTGGCCCCATTGATTACATAGATTTTTCACCTAAAGAACCTCATTATTTTGCGGTTACTTGTTCGGTGCGGGTTCAAATTTACAACCCGATAACGAAGCTTGTTACGAAAAATTTGTCCAGGTTTCGTGAAAATGCTTATGGGGCAGTTTTTAGGAGCGATGGTAGTCTTATATTGGCCGGAGGGGAAGAGAAAAATGTGAAACTTTTTGATATTTCCACTAAAAGTATGTTGAGGTGAGTTATAACATTATTGTGTGTTTTTTTTGTATTTTGTTCTAGTTTTCTTTTCATTTTTCTCTGGTTAATTTTCCTTATGCTTTAGTTTTCTAAATAAAAAAAATACTTATTTAAAACAAATTCACAGTGTTTATAACTAAACCAATAGTTTTGTAACTGCAAAGCTTCAGAGTCTTTCGACTTTGATTTTTATCAAGGTGAGCAGGCACAAGTAAAATTCTATTTTTTCAAAGAGATTTGTGTTTATGAATAAGAGTGACTGATTTTAGGACAAAGAGAGAATAGGGAGATGGAAGAACTAAATATTTCAAGGAATCAAATCTACTTTTTCTTTATTTTTTGCTGATGACATAAGGTCATCCAAAATAATTTTGAATTCAGGAGACTGCTTAGATCTGCAGAGAGATTTGAATAGGTTTTTGAAGTGGTGTGACCGAGGGGCAAACCACTCCTCTAAAAAATGTACATGTATTGCGGAAATCCTATGATTTCTTGGCAATCATGATTTCCGCGACTGCGAACATGATTTCCGCGACTGCGAACATGATTTCCGCGACTGCGAACATGATTTCTGCGAATGCAAAGAAGAATGCGGCATTTCGGACTATTTTGGCGACTGTCTAACGAAAACTGCAGGATTTCCTTGTGATTTCGAAGAAATTTAAATAAAATTTACATGTGTTGCGGGGAGTAGGACAAACCACTCCTCTTAAAAATGTACATGTATTGCGGAAATCCTATGGTTTCTTGGCAATCATTGCGATTTCCAGGGCTACCATGAGAATTTAAGAGATTTCGAAGATTGCCATGAAAATCGAAATGATTTCCACGATTGCCATGAAAATCCAAATGATTTCCAAGATTACGGGACTGCAAAATGATTATTGCAGGACTGCGGAAGGGATTTTTTTTTTTATTTTATTATTTTGGCGACTGTCTACCAGAGAATGCAGGATTTCCTTGTGATTTCGAAGCAATTTTAATAAAATGTACATGTATTGCGGGAAGTGGTTTGCCCCTCGGGTGTGACTCAAATGAAATGGAGCTTAATACCTCAAAGTACAAACTAATGATTTTCTAGAAAAAGAAACATAACAACCTATAACTGATGACTATACAATCAAATTATTTAAAAAGTAAATATACATGCAAAGAAATTACTTTTATCAATGATATTTCAATCGAAAAACACTGCGAAATCGCAGCAATTGAAATTTTAAATCCACATATTATTATTGTATGCATTTATAGATCACCAAGTGGCCAATTAGACATATTTTTTGAACTGCTTGAAAAAACTCTAGAATTTCTTACTCAAAAAAAGACAACACTATTTATCTATGGAGATTTTAATGTGGATTTGCTCTCAGTTGATCAGGCTTCACTTGAGTTTGTGCAACTGTTAAACTCTTATGGTCTAAAAACACTAATTGACAAACCAACTAGAATATCGAAAACAACAAAAAGCAGCTGCTTAGATAACTGTATCACAAACACAGAAATTGAACCCCTTTGGTCACTATGGGATTCTTACTTGTCAGATCACATGGCAATCATTAATACCTATAAGCATCAAACAAAAAATATTTTCAACAATCACACCAAAATTATTAAATTCAGACCCATTTGTCGTGACAATATAGTTTCTTGTATTGGTGCTTTAAAAAATACTGATTGGGCTTCACTCTTATACGAACTAGATACAGACAATACTTTTAACACTTTCTTGGGCATTTTTTTTGATGTCTTTGAGTTCTATTTCCCACAAAAAACTAAAACATGTCACAGTAGCAATAGTGACAAGAAATGGTTCAGTAATGAGCTAAAGTACCACAGAGACACACTAAACTTTCTTACAGCTTTTGATAAACAAAATCCGAACGTCAACTGTTCTGAAGCAATAAAACGACAAAAACAACTGTATAGGTCAGAAATAAATAAGGCAAAAGTCAATTTTTTTTCCAACAACATATTAAACAATACTAATAAACCCAAAGCTATATGGGATATTATAAAAGCTTCTCGTAACAAGGAAAATTCGAATCCACCTCCCACAATCTCTCCAGAGGAGTTCAACAAGTTCTTTATAAACATTCCAAACACCATATCAGCCAATCATATCAGCCATCATCAACCATATCAGCCAATCTTTTCATCCATTTATTCACAATAACTATACAGTTTTTTTAACTCCAGTAACACCTGCAGAGGTAGTAAGTATCCTGAGTTGCATGAGCGACAGCAAAGCAAAGGATGTCTTTGGTCTAAGCAACAAAATCTTGAAGCAACTCGCGGAAGGACTTGCCCTTCCCCTTTCCATAATTATAAACAGATGCTTTGAGGGTGGGAATTTCCCAAGTAAGTTGAAAACCAGTAGGGTAGTACCTATTTTCAAAAAAGGGGATGCAAATGACCCTGGAAACCATAGACCGATTTCTGTGGTACCGGCCTTGTCAAAACCAATTGAGATCAGCCTAAACAATCGTTTAACCATATTTTTAGAAAAGAGTAAGCTGCTGTCCAGCCATCAGTTTGGTTTTCGTAAAAAAAAATCTACAACAGATGCAATAAGAGCCCTGGTGGAGCATATAGTTGGATGCTTCGAGGGGGCAGAGTCGGTTATGGCCATCTTCTGTGACCTCTCGAAGGCGTTCGACTGTGTGTCACACCAGATACTACTAAACAAGCTGGGCTACTATGGCATTAGAGGCAACACACTGCATATAATTGAGTCATATCTTTCAGACCGCTACCAGCTGGTGGATCTTGATGGTAAGAGGTCTTCGGTGCTGCCTGTTGTTGCAGGTGTACCACAGGGATCCATACTAGGGCCATTACTATTCATTCTATATGTGAATGAACTTCCATCTATTTTTCCAGAATTGAAAACAATACAGTACGCAGATGATACAACCCTCCTTGACCACCATTGCAACACTGCCCAGCTTCATCCTGCATGTGTTTCCACCATTAAGAAACTTCACACATGGTTCGCTGACAACAATCTCTGTTTGAACCTTGATAAAACCAAAACCATAACCTTCTCCCTAAAAGAAAGAGAGGAGGCCAAGGCCCTTAAATTCCTGGGGGTCCAGTTCGAGAGCAGACTGACCTGGAAAAACCACATTATCCAACTTTCTAAGAGTCTCTCCTGTACCCTTTATCTTCTTCGCAGAATCGCACCTATCACCCCAATTGAAGTATCCCGTGCAGTCTATATGGGACTCTTCCAATCTAGGCTGTCATACGGCCTGCTTTTCTGGGGATGTTCTGTTGACTGGCCAAAAGTTTTTAAAATCCAAAAAAAAGCCATCAGAACGATTGGAAGACTGAAACCAACTGAAAGCTGCAGACCTTTTTTTCGTGATCTCCAAATACTGACCCTACCAGGTATGTTCATATACCAGTGCCTCAACTACACAAGAGCACATATATCTGAATTCTTAACAGTCAATAGCAGACATCACTACCCGACTAGACATGGTGAAGACTTATTAATTTACCAACACCGACTAACACTAACTCATAAAACTTACATTAATAACAGCATAAAACTTTATAACTGCCTGGCACCTGAGATCAAAGCTCTGCCTCCTATTATGTTCAAAAATAGAATAAAAAAGTTACTTTTAGAATTGTCTCCTTACACTTTGGAAGAATTCTATGTCAATTATAGATAGGAAAACAATATGTTTGTCATAATAATTGTTTGTTTTGTATCATCACTTATTATTGTTTAATTTATTACTACTTATTGTTGAATTGTGTCTTCTATCTTTTGAAGTTATATCTGTACTGTATTTGTTCACTTATATGGTCGTTGACAATGCTAAACATTTTATTGTATTTGAGCAAATAAAGAATTTTATTATTATTATTATTATTATTATTATTATTATAAAGGTGAAATCCTCACAGCCTCTGAAACACTAATGGATCTGGGAGTTATTCTGGACCCGAGCCCGAGCCTGTCATATATTTATCATATAACATTCATAACAAACAAAGAACTATGAATGCTTGGATTTATCAAAAGAAATACAATTGACTTCAATACCATCCATGCTCTGAAGATTCTATATCACAGTCTCATGAGATCCTATTTAGAATATGCTTCTAGCATCTGAACTTCCCATTATGATACTCATATATCCCAAGAGTAGAACGGGTTCAGAATGGGTTCCTATCCTACATTAAGTACAAATTTTCCAGAAATGAACTAACCTACAAAACATTACATCAAAGACTGAACCTTCAAACGCTGACCAACAGAAGAGATCTTTATTTGGTTTTTAAATTGACCAACTCTATAGTTGACTGTCCACATCTTAGCAGTATGGTAAATATCTTTGTTCCCAATAGAAACATAAGAAACCAACAAACTTTCCAAGTTCCTTTCCACCAAACTTCAACAAACCATGGAAAATACTTCTTTTTTCCAAGAACTATGTCACTTGCCAATGGAAAAACTTATTTGGACTTTTTCTATTCACAAAAACGCTTTCATAGAGCTTTGAAACATACTTAAACACATTTCATGTATAATTGAATTTGTAAGTATCTAGTTAGGCTAGTTAATATGTATTACCTCTCTGAGATTTTATTGACTTGTTAATAATTTTGAAATTTAAACCAAATCCTCAATATCCTTATCAATTCCTTTCCAATAACAGTAATGTTTTGCAAGTAATTTCATTTTGCCAATATGAGTGCTATGTAATTCCTTCAGCATTAAATCTTGTAGTTTTTGGAATTATTACTCTCTGTCCTTTAAATAATATTCCATCTTGTTCATTCGTGAAGTTAAATAAAGGCGATATTCATCTATTTATTTATTTATTTAAAAATACTTCTGAATCTCGTAATTTTCCATTTGCTATGTCATTTTTAACTTAGGATAGATCTCTAACTTGTGTTTATGTAGCTATTGTTTTTGAATATAATAAGGACTATGTTGTTTTAATAGCAGGACTTAACGACACTGATATCAGAAAAGA